ACATCATTTCAGTTTTGAGGAAAAATTGGGGTTTTAATCATCTGGGGTAAATAAATCCCTTTTCTAAAGTTCTTTTTTTCATTTAGTCTGATTTGTTTTGGAAGGTTTTGGGGCTGATTTTGAGAGGGAGAAAAGGCTTTTTGGATATTTTCCCTACTGCTTTTGAGGGAGGAAAATCCTGGGGGGGGAGGGGCGGGGGGGACACATGGGGGGGGGGCAATCGACAAACACATGGAAATAGGAATAATTCTGTAAATATTAAGAAGAATAATAAAAATATTGGTCTGCAAAGTTGGGGGTTCCAGGAGGGCAGTTTCCTGGTGATGGCCTTAATCCAGGCTCCAGGAATTCAGCAGACTTCCCTATGAGGAGGGTCCACCCAACATATTGGGCCCTCGCCTCCCCTCTGGAAGGAGTTACCAACAACTATAACTCTTCTTTGCTTCCTTGCGGTGTGGTGATGATCCGGGGAGTATGGTTTTCTGAAATGAGGAGGCATCTCTGATGTAGGTTGCCCATCATCTACATCCTCACATCATCTCCTTTGGAGTAATAAATATTTATTAAAATGATCTTTGTAATATGTGTATAAATATTTAGCACAGTAGAGAATAAAGGTTGTAAAAGATGAGTGTAAACACAAAACCAATGACAGCCAGATCTATATTGTACTTTCCAAATGTTGAATGGTTGAGACATCCATGTTAATTCTCTGTCCTTCAAAGAGACTGTCACGAAAAGATGCTATAGATGCCAGTTTGTACTCAGAATGTGGGTCATTGTGCATTTTGATGCATAGTGGAGCTTTTGTGCCGAGCAGCTCAGTGTGACTTTGGGGTTGAGTAAAGCAAAGGGAAGACCCTTTGCAAGCCACGCTGTACTCCCCAGCTGCTTCCTTACAGCACTTAACGGTTCCTCCAGTTTTATTGCCCTACCAAACAACTCTTTTCCTGCCCTTCAGCAGTTCACCAACGTTTTTCTGCTAAGAGAGGACAGAGTACAGGTTTGTTGGGAGTTAGATACAGATGGATTGCAGGGGCAAGGTAGCACAGCCATAGAGACAGGGAACGGGGTGTGCTCTGGGTGGGGGACACGTGTGCCAGTCACAATTGACTGGGCACGGGTGAGCTGCAGTGTGGCACCTCTGCAGAATACCTTGCTTTTCTCAGGCCGTCTGGGATGGGGCCCTGGAAGAGTCTCCAAGGACACCATGGGAGAACCAGACCAGGCCGTCTCTCCCATTCTCTCTCATCTTTGCCCAAGGACCACACCTGCTCATCTGTAATGAAGAAAAAGCAGGATTTTTCTGTGATTCTCTATCACATCCTCATCCAGGGTAACATAGATACCTCGTCTATACACAGACACCTACATGTAGATCTTTTTCTCCAGCAGGTCAACCCCTAACCTGTAACGGTACAGGGGGTTACTCCTCCTGAGCTGCAGGCCCCTACGCTTGCTGCACTCCATTATGTTCCTCTCTGCCCAGCTCTCCAGCATGTCCTGATCTCACTGAATGGTGCCTCAGCCTTCTGGAGTGTCAGTCACTCCTCCCAGTTATGTGTCCTCAGTAACAGAATCACAGAATCTTCATGGTTGGAAAGGACCTTGGAGATCACTGAGTCCAGTCATACACACAGAAAAAAAAACCAACAATCTCAGGCACTAGAGCATACCCTGAAGAGCCATGTCTACACGTTTCTTAAATAACCTCCAGGGATGGTGACTCCACCACCTCCCTGGGCAGGCTGTTCCAGTGCCTGATCACTCTCTCAGCAACTTCACCACCTCCCTGGGCAGGCTGTTCCAGTGCCTGATCACTCTCTCAGTAATGTAATTCTTCCCAACATCTAATCTAAACATCCACTGCCACAACTTCAGACCATTTCCTCTGCTCCTGTCATTATTGTTCTGCTCTCCATCCTTACCTTCCAGCCCAGGAGGCTGAACACCCTGGGGGTAGCTGGTCTGACTATTGAAGATGGAGACAAAAAAGGCATTACATATCTCAGCCTTCTCCTTGTCATTAGTTGCAATGTTTTCCCCCGCATTCAGTAAGGGATGGAGATTTTCCCTGGATCACTTTTTGTTGATGTAGTTATAAAAACTTTTTTTTGTTGTCCCTTATATTAATGGCCAGGTTGAGTTCCAGCTGGTCTCTACTCCTGCTGGCCACGCTGTTGCTCATACAGGCCAGGATGCTGTTGGCCACCTTGGCCACCTGGGCACACTGCTGGCTCATGTTCAGCTGGCTGTCCACAGACACCCCCAGGTCCTTTTCTGCTGCACAGCTCTCCAGCCACTCTGCCCCCAGCCTGTAGCGTTGCCTGGGGTTGTCGTGATGGAAATGCAGGACCTGGCACTTGGCCTTATTAAACTGAGGGTGCACTCAATCCCTTTATCCAGATCATCAATCAAGATATTAAACAAGACTGGCCCCAAAACTGAGCCCTAAGGGACACCACTGGTGCCCGGCCACCAACCAGATTTCACCCCATTTTTGCTCTTCATGGGGACAGCCTGCTCCTGGGCCTTTAGGATTTCCTTCTTGAGGAGTGTTCAACCTTCCTGGACCCCTTTGCCCCTTAGGACTATCTCCAAAGGGACTCTCCCAACCAGAATTCTAAACAGGCTGAAGTCCACCCTCCGGAAGTCCAAGGGGAAGGTTTCGCTAACCCCTTTCTTTATCAAAGAATGGAAAACTTGACCATTTCATGATCTCTAAGCCCAAGACGGTCTCCAACCACCACATCCCCCAGTAGTCCTTCTTTCTTTGTGAACAGCAGATCTGGTGAGGCACCTCCCCTGGTAGGCTCACCTACCAGTTGTGTCAGGAAGTTATCTTCCATACACTCAAGGAACCTCCTAGCCTGCCTGCTCAGGTAGGTACACTCTGTCCTCTCTTCCCAGTCATTGATGAATACAATTGAACATGACCGAACCCAGTACTGACCCCTGGGGAACACCGCTGGTGAGAGGTCTCCAACTGCACCACACTGAGCTGCTGATCACAACTCTCTTTCTTGAGATAAACATACCATGGATCAAACTGTGGCATGGGACTGCTCTCTTCTGCACACATGTTGCAGGTGGAGGACAAAATGCATACAGAAAAGGGCAGGGGAAAGAACAATCTTTTAAGCTAAAGTATTAAAATAAACGTGACAAGGAATGTGATCAAGAACATAGAATGTTTAATTAAATAATTGCAACCAAGCATTAAATTTGTCTAAGAAAAGTATATGATCTTTCATTTCACAGAAGAAAATACCATATTTTTTTAAAAAAATTATTCCTCTTCAATTGAAGAAATTCTTATGGTTGATTCTTTCTGTGAAATTTTAAAGAAGGGATACAATTCTTCTGAGAATGCACAGTCTTTAAACGTGAACATCACAGACATGTCAGTAACATTGAAAAAAGTCACACTTTTCTCTTCACAATCAAGGTAAACTCCGACTTTCCTGGGATTTTTCTGCACTGCTAACCGAGTCAAAGGTTCATTTCTCACCCAGTAATTTTTAGAACTTAAGCCCAGAACCCAGAATTGGTCTTTAGGTGACAGAGATATGGGTCCTTTCCTTTGAGCGGATTTTCCAGCTACTCCCAGGTCCCAGTCATTGCTTTTTTCAACGTCCACCTCCCAGTAATGCTTCCCAGAGGAGAAACCTTCTGAGCCCAGCACACAGACAGCTGAATCAAAACTCTTTTCAGTTTGAGTCGTTTTCTGGGCATGCGATTTATGTGTAAACCTCTTCTTGTCTGCATCGATAGATAAGTTTGGGTGGGCTGTGTCCCCATCAACTTTGATGTCATCTACAAAAAGTAGAAATTTGGGGTTTTATGAACACTCCTCTAAAGCAAATATACAAGAAGAGAAGGACACTGTACTGTCCTGCATTTCATCCTGAAAAGCTCCCCACATCTAGTCTAGGAAGACCTCTAAGCCGGGAGTGAAGAAGGACTGCACTCAGACATGTAAATTACACTTCAACTTTCAAATATCTCTGTATCCCTGGAATAAAAGACATTTGCAGACTCACAGTCCTTTCCACACTCAGCACTGCTTCTACAGTATTCACGGGTCTCGAGCCATTGAGTACAGACATAAGTAAATACATTATTTTACCTGCATAGCCACGAGCCTTTCTGAATTCTGAAAACAAATAAGGAGGAAAAAAAAAAACTGTAAGAAAAACCAAAGTCTAAACCTTGATTGAAAAGATTTGCCTGCTCCAAGTTGGGAATCTCAGACTGAGTCTAAGGTTGAACTATGCTGGTCGACTGATACCCAGTTCCCTCTTGCTCTCTCAAGGCCTCTGATCACCTGCATGGTCTGAAGGTGGGTCTGAAGCTGGGATGAGTTTCCTGCTTGAGGACTGCTTTCTTTCTCAGGTCCCAATTGGCCTGGATCTCGCTTTGGCATTTCCAGGCACCCAGAGTCCCCTTGGTGACACTCATGGCAATAAATTTCATCCACATTTAGTGCATTTGCATGTGGGGGTGCATACAAAGAAACAAGTTGGGTAAATCTTCCCTAATGGTCTGAAGGGAGGAGGGAGTGCACTTCCCAGTGAGTTTGTGGGTATGTGCAACCATGACAGCTTTGAGCAGTAGCGGCTGGGCAGCGAAGGATAGTGGAGAAGGTGTGGCAGGTGGAGAGTCCACTATCCAAACTAAGCTGCTGAGAAGTCAAAACAGACAAGTAAATATTAACTGTTTTCCAGGGCAGAATCAGGTGAACTTGTGTTTTTACGTGTGAAA